GGCCTGGGCCCTGCTGACAGCGCCCGGCCCCCGGCGCGGGCTGCCGCCCCGCTTTGCCTGCGTTAGAAATAAAGTAAATCTACTGGAGCCGTCGGCTTTCGAGCGGTTTAATAAGGGTTAAAAGGTCGTCGACCTTTGAGGTGATCTCTGTATAAAAGTCGGCCGGGAAGGCGTTCTTCTGTGGCCATAAAAAACGTTTTCATAGCGAAACGGAGACAGGGTAAAGGTGCCTGTTTGTCCACAGGCAAACGTGGACAGCTTTGCGAGCGACGGAGCGCTGCACCGTTTTGTGGCTAATGAGACCTTTTATTAGGTTAATTTTATTTAGTTCCAAAATACTGTCCCAGACAGGAACTGAAATTGTTGCGCTCATCGGCACAAGTATCCAACTGTCTTGAGCACTGTAAAACATAAACATCTTGTGCCGTGTAAAAGAGGTTTTCTTCCTCTTAGCAAAAGCCATTTCAAGTATTTTCAAATAGCTTATGTTATATATTGTTACGGTATTTTTTACTTTCAGATTTCGTATCGCAGGAGCATTCTCTTTTTTTTAAAAAAATGTTTTTCAATGTCATGGTTAGTTTTGATAGTCCTGTAATATAAATTATCCAAGTTTTTACAGGTGATAATATCCTCTTTATTTGTTTTCTCTAACTCTTACTTGATTTTTCTGCTTCATGAACTTTCAGTGTATCATTAGAACAATTATTGATAACGTGAATTCATATAGCTCTGCTGTGAGGAAATCAATTATAATAGTAAAACGAGAATTAAAAATGTTATTCACGCCTTAGGTGTTGGGTGCTTTTGGGTCCCTGTTGAGGACTGGGAATTCTAGAAGTGAAGCTCATGTAGGACTGTGTCATGGTTGTCAGTAGAGATGATGCCACTTTAATGAATGAGATTTACTGTATTACAATAAAAAGAATTCCTTTAGAGACAGTAGCTATGAAAGCACTCTTGATGGCTTCAGAAGTTTGATAATTATTATCTTAAAACAATGGCACAAATTTTAAAATAACACTGATGTGTCTAATACATATATTAATGATTTATGGTAAAGTATTCAATGCCAAATATCAGGTTTTAGCTTTGTAATTAAAGATAATTGCTTTAATGAGATATTTCTTCATTTCATCAGTGCTGATTCATAACCAACGTTTGATATTTACCAATAAAACCTGCTTCGATGGCTGGTCCGTCTTTTTGCTCTTGGTGTATGTTTATTTACTAACATGATGGCCCAGCTTACAGTTACATTTGACCACTGCTTGATCTCTGTATAGGAGACTTGCATCTTTGCTCCAGTGATGTGTACCTCAGCTTAGTATTTGCAGAAGTTAATTAAACAAATGTATTGAATTTATCCATTTTTTTGATGAGAAGTTGGTGTGTAATCCAGAAGAAGCAACAGGAAGTTTGGTGTGTATTTTCTAGTTTATAATCTATGTAATTGTTCTCAGACTTGAAGGCTTCACTTAATTTATTTGCAAGATACATTTTTTCCTGGTTTTTTTTCCTCCGATTTTTATTTTTCTAACTTCCACAGTTACGGGGAACTGTTTCACTTTTTCCAGCATATGTCTTTTAGCCCTCCTTTTGGGATGATGCATCCTTTCTGATTACTTTTCTCTTTCTTCCCTTGATGGAGCCCTGTATGGCAATGTATCTCTGATGTGCTTGCAGTTTTTCAGTTCTTGCTCGTATTTTGGAATTTGAGACATACGAGTCACGTATTAACTTTTTCTTGCCGTGTGACCTGAGCAGAGCAGAAGAAAATTAATGAACTAAATTGCCATAGCTTTGAGCATTTTAATTCTTTTAGTTCCATGACTTTTCCTTTCATTCTTGCAATTATAACCTTATGTGCTTCTGAAAGCAAATGTTAGGATGTTAATTTACAGATTTGGCAGCTTCTGTGATCAAGTACATAGTCATTTTGAGACTTCTGGATAGAATTTAACTAAAGATTGACACGCGTGAATCTTAGAATATATCCATTGAACATGAATATTGTTGAGAAACTATAATGAGAAGTATAATGTAGGTATTTTGAAACAGGCTTATCCCATAATTATGTCCAACCTCTTCCAAGGAACAATTTAAAAAAGTATAAGGAAAGATGGTTTTTCATTGCCGTTTGTTTGTGCGTGGCTAGGAGACTTGATTTACTGTGTTTTATAGAAGAAGCATTTCCTCTGAGTCAAAAAAAACCAGTTTCTGTTAAGGATATTCTGTGTAATGCTCTCAAACCAGAGAGATAAACTGAGCATTCTCTTCCCTTTCAGAATTTTGAAAGCTTTGAAGAACTGCATTGGGATAAAGTGCAAGATAATTTTTTTTTTAAATATCCCAAAAGAGGAACCATTTAATAGTCTTTACTCTGAAATCCAGCAAAAAGCCTGTAGGATTTTTGTGTTCTTGTGTTGCAGGAACAGACTGAACGTAGCAACTTTAATGTAGGTTTGCCTCATGCAAGCAATATTTTAAAGACTGTGAG